ACATGTATGTACCGTGAGGGAGGATGAGCTATACTTTGTTTATACTTCATTATTTAAAATTTTTAATATGGTGACCAGATGCAGTAGAAAAAAATACATGATTTTGTGTTATATTTTTTATCTTTGGCCATTCTGGATCAAAACAAGCGAAACAACCATTTAACTGGTTAAAGTTATTTTAAAACGACGACTTAAGCGCTAGAAATAGTTAATAGTAAAGGCATATAACAAATGGAGAATCATTAAAAAAAATCTAAATCTCTGAAAGAACAACAAGAATCTGTGACATTTGAACCATGATTCACTCCCCTCCCACCACCTGAGCTCTGCCTGAGGGGAGCTCTATTTCGAACTTGAGAGGCAGACTGTGGGAGAGGCTAGAACCTTCTAGCTTCTGGTTGCAGATGCTTTCTTCTAGGCAGGTGAGGTCAAAGGCCTGGGGCTCCCTTCCCCCACTCTACCTTTACTCAGTGTAAGTCTCTACTCCAGGCCCACAGGCAGGCTGAGAATATCGGGTCCCAGTTGCCCTGGGCCAAGCCTCATTCATAAGGCCAAAGTTTCACGCCAGGTGGGGCAAGTCATTTAGCACCCCCAATCATAGAGCACAGATCTGTGATACGGGAGACACTGTCCTAGCCCCTAGTTCTTGTGCAGTGACACAAACACAAAGATGGTTGTGAAGGGAGAGGCACGCTGTAAGAACAGAAGTCTACAACTTTCCTAAGGGAACTAACTGACTTTATTTGGAACAGAGGTTGCAAAAAGATGTTGAAATGATAAAGACTTTTGTGGTAACAATTAAGAGGAGACTGGTAGCTCCACAATACTAGTAGCAACAAGTATGAACTGGCGTTAGAAGGTAAACAGAATCAGCAAAAATAGGCAGCCAATTAGAGCCCCCGTGGGGTTGGAGCAAGCCTCAAAGACTGGCAGCACCCTATGCCTGCAGCAGGCCTCGCTTTTGTTGTGTCCGACTGTGGTGCAATTCTTGCCTCAGGGTGTGGCAAAAACAAAACAATTAGTAGAGGCTGACAGCTGGGTGTGTGATAACCACCACTGGCCGATCAATCAGAAGCTTGTAAAGGGGAGACCCAAGAAAAATACTACTAAAGAGAGTCCAGCCAAACCCACAGTCATTCCTGGTGGACAAAGAGACTGTGCATGCTCAAGACCGCGTGCTCTGAGAAGCTATACCAGAGGCTGCACACTGCTGGGTAAATAGAATTCAATGAACTAGAGATAAAGGAGGGACTTTTTCTAATGATAAAAGGGTTTATCTATCTGGAAAACATAATTAAATCCTCAACAGAGCCCAAAAATGCATGAAGCAAAGTGCAACAGAATTGAAGGGGGAAATAGATGATTCACCAGTAATAGTTGGACACATCAACATTCCACTTTCAACAATAGAGTATCTAGGCAAAAGATTAGCAAAGATGCTGAAGACTTGAACACTATAAATCAGCTACACCTAACAGACACCTATAGAGCACTCCACCTAACAAGAGCAAGGTTGTTGAATACAACATTCTTTAAAAATTAGTTTTATTTCTGTATACTAGCAGTGAACAACCTGGATATGAAAATTAAGGAAACAATTCTATCTACAATAGCATCAAAAATAATAAAATACTTAGAAATAAATTTAACAAAAATGTAAGACTCATACACTGTAAATTATAAAACGTTGTAAGAAATTAAAGAAGATCCAAGTAAATGGAAAAATATCCTGTGTTCATGGATTGGAAGACAATATTATGAAGATGGCATTACTCCCCAAAATGATCTGCGGAGTCATTGCATTCCCATCAAGCCCTAGTTGGCCTCTTTGCAGAAATTGACAAGCTTCATCCTAAAATTGATATGAAAAAAAATAAGTCCTAAAACTATAAAACTTTTAGAAGAAAATATAGGAGTAAATCTTCATGACCTTGGGTTAGCCACTAGTTTTTCAGATACAATACCAAAAGCACAAATGGCAAAAGAAAATATAGATAAATTGGAATTCAGTAAAATTAAAAACTTGTACTGTTAACAGTAGCATCAGTGAAATGAGAAGGCTAGATGGGAGAAAATATTTTCAAATCATATACCTGATAATGGAATTGTATGCAAAATATTTTGAGAATTCTTACAACTTAACAATAAAAAGGTAAATAACCCATTTAAAAACTGGGCAAAGCATATGAGTAGATATTTCTCCAAAGAAGGTATTTAAATGACCAAGACGCACATGAAAAGAAGATCAGTATCATTAGTCAGTATGGAAATGCAAATCTAAACCATGAGATACTACTTCTCCTGTACTAGGATGGTGTAATAAAAAAGATAAATGTTTGTGAGTATGTGGAGAAAAGAACCCTCATTGCTGTGGAGAAGATAAAATGGTAGAGCTGCTTTGGAAAATGGTTTGGCACTTCTTCAAAATGGTAAACACAGTTAACACATGATCCAGAAGTTCTACTCTGTATATACAGAGGGTGCCAAAAAAAATGAATGTATACACATTTTAAGAAAGGAAAAAACTGTATTAAAATTGTAATATTCACTTTATACCCATAACAAAAATGAATACAAGTCATGTTTAACTTCTGCAGTTACAAAACTGTATTAAAATTACACTGATGGTAACTACTTTTGATAACTACTTTGAGCAAAGTAGTTACCATCAGTGTAATTTTATTATTATTTTTAAAGACTTTATTGGGGACTTGGGGGGAGGGAACAGCATTAGGGAATCGGGGAAGGGGAACAGACAAGTTGCTGTGCTTTGGTTCTTCAGTCTAGTTGTGGAGGATGTTGCTTCACTGGCCCATATTGGTATTGTGATCATTGGGCTCTTATCAGCTGAGGCAGATTGGTCACCGCCATTGGACGGCCACTCACGCTGGCTGCCAGCCACTCACAGTAGCTTACGGCAGCCCACTGCAGCCTATGCTGTCGCCGGTGACTCACAGCAGCCCATCTCCAGGTCAAGCTGTTGTTCACCATCTTAGCTGGAGAGGGCGCAGCGTCACTGGCCCATGTGGGATCCGAACCAGCAGCCCTGCTGCTCAGAGCTCGCATTCCCAAGCCAACTCTTAACCAACGAGCCACTCAGCCGGCCCCATCAGTGTAATTTTAATACAGTTTTTTCCTTTCTTAAAATGTGTACACATTTTTTTGGCACCGTCTGTATTTAAGAGAACTGAAAATACACATCCACACAAAAACTTGTACACAAATATTAAAAGCAGCATTATTCATCTCATAGTAGCCAAAAAGTAGAAACAACCCAGATGTTCATCACCTGATGAATGGTTAAAATGTGGCGTATTCATACAATGGGATATTATTTGGGAATAAAAAGGAAGTAAGTACTACATGCTGCAACTTAGATGAACTTGAAACATTATTCTAGGAGAAGTCAGTCTCCAAAACAAATATTGTGTGATTCCATTTATATGAAATGTCCAGAATTGGCAAGTCTATAGAGGCAAAAAGTAGTATAGTGGTTGCGTAGTTTTGAGGCAGTGAGAGAATGGGAAGTGACTGTTAATGGGTACAGGGTTTTTTTGGAGGGTATAAGAAAATGTTTTCAAATTAGATCGAGGTGATGGCCCCACACCTCTAAATATACTTAAAAAACAAAACAAAAAAAACCAAACATTTAATTTTACACTTCCAGTTGGTGAATTGTATGGAATTGTATTATATTTCAGTAACAACTGTTTAAAAACAAATAGATGTGACTGTAATTGATATGAACCAACTAAAAGTAATCTATATTTCGGAATCCAGGTTGATAAAATTGTTGTTTGAGTCAAGAAAACATGTGGCACCTACCTTACTAAATGCTAGGTTAGTTGCTGTATGTTGATTTGGATTAGAAAGTAGCTTGAATGCTATATGAAATGTAGTTTAAGTATAGATATTTTGTTCAAAGTTTGAACTGACAGAATGTAGGACTAAGGAGTTAAGTACAGTTTATGCCATGTAATGTCTGTTTTTTAAAAATCACTAAACAGTGAAAATGGCATTAACATATAATGCAGTTGAGGATTTTATTGGACTATTTTTAATTAATACAGGCATACCTCAGCTTATTGTACTTATTGTGGTTTATGGATGTTGCATTTTTTTATAAATTGAAGTCGAGGCCCTCCCTCCACCAGCAAAAAGATTATGACTCGCTTTATTGCAGTGGTGTGGAACCAAACGTGCAACATCCTCGAGGTTTGCCTGTACCTGTTTAGATATTAAATCTATCAAAATTAAATTATTTTATTTGTGACTCATTTTTAAAAGTAACTTTTTAAATAATAATTTATTTAGTCCATGGAGAGAATGTTGTCAAATACAACTATAATAAAGATTTTTGTAATGATTTATAACACTTAAGATATTTTGTTTAAAAAGTTTTAAACAAATTACTTGGCAAACGTAATATGTCTTATGTGGAATTGTTAAGAGATCATTGTTTTAGTTTGAGTATGCAGGAGAGGTCTTTGTATTAAACTATTTGTTTACAATATGTAATTGATGCTAATTTTGTCTTTGCAAATACATATTTTGATCGTGCTGTTGACGCAGTTTGGGTGATAGGGAAATCATAGCTGGTTGCAAATCACTGGTGCATTTAAAATTTTTAAGGAAATCCTATGTGGATTATAACACACCTTTAATATATGAACTATTGCTGTAGTATAATAAGAAACATATTTGAATGCTCAAGGAAATTTTCCCTTTAGTAATTATGGTTTAATTAGAATTTACCTGTAAATTTTAAACAGAACTCATAATCAAAAAACATGGATAAAATACACCCAAAGTATATATTTATATTCACTTGGCTTTTACACTTTTGTAGAAGTAAATTTTATCCTAATTTGAAGTTTTAAAATGTTTTGAACTGACTTGTCTTATCTGTTGTTAACATTTGTCTTTGACTTTGCATCTATTCTTTTGATACTGAATGGGGAAAGATATTTGTGCAAATATTTCACCAAATATTTTTGCAGGGACACTTAGTCGGTCTGGATGAACCAGCTTCGGGAGCTGGGCAAGAAGCTCTGCTTAAACAAGAGCAAGCAAAAATCATTCGATTCGAGAGACAAGCAGAAGAGTTCCTCAATGCAGTCTTTTATAGAAAAGGTTGGTTCCAGTAAAGAATGACATTTAGCATCTGCTTGTCTTATATTAATCTCCTTGATTTCAATGTCATTTTTAAAAGTTACTTTTTAAAATATTTTTCTTAATTGATAATATGCTTTATAATTCTCTATATTTCTTTGATCAGTTACATTTGGAATAGGGTAAGGCAACCCCTCTCCTTTTTGCTCTAAAGTCATGGTGCCATGTAAGTTTTAGTTAAATAGTTCGTAAAACTATTAAGAAAGTCTGAAAATTTTAAAGCCTCAGTATTGTATAATTAAAATTGCAGGCATTTTTTTTTCTCCTTGCTACAGTCTTGTTTCACTAAATTTTTTAAATTATTAAAACTAAAATTCATTGTTATAAAATGTTTCCCCATGTATCTGAGGTGGCATTTAATAGCTCCACCTCTTGTGTTTTACAGTTTATCTTTCTGCTTGAAACTATTGTAGGCTTGTTGTACATTTCTCTATCCACAAAGCATAACTCCTATCAGCCAAGACCTTCTGGAAGCTTCCATTCATGATCCATGCTTTACCTTTGAGATAGTCTTTCTAAATGAATTTATAATCTTAGTTATGCCCTTCCTCTAGTTCCAAGATGAAGGTTACTATGATGGGTTGTAAAAAAAGTTTCCTACAAACTCCTGATAATCCTGAATATCGTTATTTAATTTTCAGCAGACTCAGTGATTCCATTTTCTTTAATATTTCTTCATGTATTCTTGTTTACAACTCTTATTCCTCTGGAAATTGCCCCCTTCCCTCTGAAATTTGAAAGCCGATGTTTGCCTGTACACTGGTTAAAAGGCTGATAAGTGCTGATTTTAATGGTTTGGTTATAATTGGAGACCAGCTGGGCTTCTGCTTAATGCAATCAGTATTTTCAAAAGAGAGTATGAGGTGAAGTGTATAAAATTAAGGAATGCATGAGATTATTGTTTTTAGTTGCCCTTTTAAAAAATGTCTTTCATCAGACCCCTAAGCAAAATTAAATCTTCTAGTACATTCTCACTTCTCTTTTAATACCCTCTTGCACACTCTGACCTAAAGCCACCAATCAAACCTCCCATGCTCACCATATCCCAGTAAAGTACCCTGAATTCCAGAATTATCTTCAAAATAGTAATACTCTTGGTTTTGTGAACACTTGATTGTTTTATTAAAGTAATTCACATTTAAAGTATAAATGACTGATAGATCAGCTTTGTTGGTTTGTTAACTACGTAAAATATCTTTACAGCTCCTCTGCTGCTCCTCTCCTTTAGGATGTGTACTAAATCATGGGTTTGAGGCTGCAGCAAATGTCATTATCCAAAAAGAAGAACTCCTCTCCCTAATGTCTATGGAGGAACCACTTTTCATCTACTATTTGCTTAGAGGGAGTTAAGATCCATCATAAGCCGATTCCTAAAGAGAATTCTAGCCTATTTCTCTACTAGTACCACCCCTTTGTCATTTAGAAATAACTTACATTAAAGTCCTTATAATTTGATTTAGACATTAAACTTTTGGGAACATAACATTTAGGGGAAGAAGGCTTACCTTGGAATCAGTCTTAGAATAAATTTCAAGTGATGAGAATCCTTTAAAATGTACGTAAATTGTGTATTTCTATACTGACATTTGATGCTCGGCAAGAGAACTATTACTTTGCAATTGGAAGTTTCTTCTAGTTTTGTGTATTAGTATTGTTATTTCTAGATATTTTATTAATCCTCTTGGAGATGTCCAAAGATGAGCATTAATACTCTTCAAATTAATACCAAAAAATATTTAGCATCCAGAGATATGACAGGCAATTTAGTCTGAAGAGAATATTTTGTTTTTAATAAATAATTCAGGTATTTGGATTTGTCTTGTTTCCAAGCATTGCAAAAAGGTTATATATAGGTATATGTAGGAGAGAGAGAGAGAGAGAGAGAGTGTGTGTGTGTGTGTGTGTGTGTGTGTGTGTGTGTGTGTGTGTGTGTGTGTGTGTGTATCTCTCTCTCTCTAGGTAGAAACAGATGCAATAAAAATAGGCTTTTTTGATATAGACTCTAATAAATTGCAATTTAAGAACAGTATACCTTCTACAACTGTCATATTTTTCAGCTTGTTTTGTCACTTGTTAGAAAATGTGACACTTTTCTAAAAGTTAGATTTTTATTTTAAAACATACAGGTGGGCTGTGAGGTAGCATTTACATGTTTTTCTGTAGTTTTAATTTTGATCTGATTTGTTATTTGCCTCAATTGTGCATGTTCTAGGTATGGCTAGGTTTATAGATGTGCTTTAAGTAAGTGAAGGAATGAAATGCGTTTAAGTAACTTGCAAGAGATGTAGAAATTCAAATGGCAGAGACGTCATCGATTTATAAACATGAATTGTGTTTCATGATTAGTCATTCATTCAATGAAGAGGCAAAATGTTGCAGCCATTTAAAACTCAAAGGTAGCAATTTATGGTCTTTATCCTAAAATAGTTTAAAATCTCTAATTATATTTATTAATCTAGTTAAACACAGAGATATCTTATAAATTACTTCATATTGCTTCCTGTTTGGAAACTTTCTCCTTTATATGTCACATATTCTCCAACTTTCCCGGGGAAAAAAGATACACTAATATATCAAAATTGGAAACTATGTACAGTCTTTCATTTGGAGGATTGTATGCTATTGTAAAAAAAAAAATGGATCTTAAGTGAAAAGTTAAATGTATATTAATTTAAAAACCCAGTGAGTAGAGAAAATTTAAAAGCAGTGTATGGCTAAAATGTTTATTAAAACATTTAAGGTTATGTAAATGTCTAACCACTGTGCTGTACACTTGAAACTAATATAATATTGAATGACAACTGTAATTGAAAAATAAACATTTAAGGAGTAATTGGCAGTGATTGTAGTGTTCTGAACCTTACTTAATTGAAGACCTTTATCTCTATACCATCTAGCATACTCATACTCTCTATAGAGAGGAAACTTAGGGGTTAGAAATACTCCTTGATAGTAGAAATGTTGCTATTGGTAGAGCAAACCTTGTTAAACTTCAGAGAATTAAATACTCTAACTTTATGACCATAATCTGGTATTGAATATTGTCCTTCATTAAAAAAATGTTTTTAGGAGTCTTGTGAGGTTTTGAGGTGTGTGTGTGTGTGTGTTTTGAAGATTTTATGTTTTAACAATGAATCAATCTTTTCTAAATTTATAAATCAACCTACGTTCCTTATAGCTTCAAAATATGAGTAAAATTATTACCTTCTATAGTTAACCTTTAAAAGACCAAGGGAACGCGGGTTTTTTGAGAATCATCTTCTGAAGCTTCAGAAGTGTAGTGGGGAAGTGAAGAGCACGGGTTGAACATTAAGATCAGGGGGAGAGTTTTAATCAGGGGTCTACCACTAACCATTTATACAGATTTGAAGAGACCACTTACTCTTTAGATCACATTTCCTTCATTTGTTTAAAAAAAAAAAAAACCTATCTGGTGGTAATTGAGTTGATTGATCCATTTATTACTCAGCTAATATGAATGCATACTTTGCAACAGGTAAGATTAGCTGCTGAGTAAACTCTGCTCTGGAGAAGCTTACACTCCCTGATAATGTGGTAATGATAGAGGTGTGATGGTGATATATTCATACAAAACATTTTCCCTTTTATCCCATTTGACCTTCAAGTTTCCTTCCAGTGTTGAAAGTTTTATGAAGTAATGAATTCATATGGTCTTTATTTTAAAATTAACATTGATTAGAAATTGAACCTTAGATGTTTATTTCATTACTTTCCTAGCTATTGTGTTGAGTGGTTGACAAAGTGTATTTAAAGAACTCAAGTAAAACATAAGTATGATCTTAGGCTTTTGAGATTTGGCATTTAAACTTGTAGTTCAAGGATTCTAAAGTTGTGGTCCTCTGACCAGCAGTATCTGGCAACTTGTTAGAAAATGTCTTGAGCTCACCCTAGAACTGCTGAATAAGTAACTCTGAGGATAGGACCCAACAGTCTGTTTTTACAAGCCCTCAAAGTGATTCTGATGAGCATGAAAGTGTGAGAATTACTGCTCTGGCCTAATCTTGGAATGCCTTCAGCCTTTAACAGAAGGTAAATTAAGCACTCATGAACTGAGTTATCAGTCCATTCATAACAATTTAGGACATGGCTAGGGGAAACCAGATGTGATCTATCCGTGGTAAACAGGGGAGTAATTATTTCATAAAAGAAGGGTTTTGGGATTTCTGTATCAGGTAAGTGATTCTTGCCCATAAGATATACTATTTGTCACTCCTTTATTTGATCTCATAATCCTGATGGGGATGTTTAGAAATAATTTCATGAATATTTCATTTTTTAAAATCTGGAACTCATAGCTTAGAGATTAAAAATATAACTATGAGGAAATGCTCTTTTAGGATATTGCATTTTAAGAAAAATAAAAGGAAATTTTATGTTTGCTTGAAAGCTGTCTTTTTTTTTTTTTTAGTACATTGTCCCACTTTAAAAGTAAATAAATCTTTGTTTACAGACAGTCCCTGGGTCTCCGACCCCAATATTCCCCTAGTGGCCCGTGAGATCATGCAGCGAATGATCCAACAATTTGCTGCTGAATATACCTCAAAAAATAGCTCTACTCAGGACCCCAGCCAGCCCAATAGCACAAAGAACCAAAGCCTGCCGAAAGCATCTCCAGTCACCACCTCTCCCACGGCTGCAACTACTCAGAACCCTGTGCTCAGCAAACTTCTCATGGCTGACCAAGACTCACCTCTGGACCTTACTGTCAGAAAGTCTCAGTCAGAACCTAGCGAACAAGGTATGGTTTGATGTCAAGGTCTCCTCTGTCCAATCAGAATAATTTGGGGGAGGAAAACAACATGATTGGTAAGGAGGGCATCACCAGTAGCAATCACAGGATAAAAATTAATGTGATTCTTAAATTATTGTTGACTGTGCAATGATAGAGAAGTGCAAATACAGTGACTACCTTACCCACTGTATTTCACAGTTCATAGTCACGATTGATATTCTACCAAGGAAAGTTAGGTGGTTACAGTTGTTACTGACCTTTAAGTTACTTGATATTTATACTTTACAAAACATTGTCATATCCATGGTTTTTAAAACCCCTATGAAAAAATAAGTTTTTCCCCTTATCTATCAATGTTCGAGGATTAGCACTTGAGAAATAAATGTCTTTACTTGTTAGGTAGAAGAAGTTATATTCAGCAAATGAGATCAAAAGGCAAAAATACGTATTTGCAGTTTTAAAAAAGAAACTTAGGGTTAGAAATAGTAAGAACACAGTAGACACTTCAGGTTGTTAGGTGTATTAAGTATTTTATAAATACACAAAAAACATACATACATACATACATACATACATACATACATACGTACATACATGCACTGTATTGTGAACTAACTTGAAGAGTATTTCCAAAAGGTAATTTGTTGGTGAGGATTCTAATTAAGTGAAGAGGTTAAGAGGTTATCAGTTTTGCTTAGCAAATATTTCTTGAGTTTCTGAAAAGTTTACTCTTTTAAATAGATTAAATATTCCTGTTACTTTATCATCTCATTTTACCTTTAATTTCACAAAGATGAAGTGAGCATTTCAACTCTGCCATTGTTTGAACCACAAAAAATTGTAAATTGGTGATGTCTGTAGTAATGAGATTTTATTGTTATAGAAATCTCATAAGAGTATGCAGAAAGGTTATGAGATACGTGAATTTATGGGTGAGAAATACATGTTTATTTTGCAAAGTAAATTTAATTCTTATAAAGACCTTTTAAAGGGCTTTCTTTTGCTTATTGTAAGTAATTTATGATTTATACTTAATGGACAGGTTTTAGTTGCTTATTAAAGAAACTTTTAATGGTTTTCCTTTGTGTTTTTTTCTCTTTCCATGTAGTGATCAGCAGTCCGAATGTCTTAAGTTCTAAGAGAATTCCTAGTAGGAGACCTCCTACTTGTCCTGTGTTCACATTAATCAGTATACCTTTGTTTACCATATTTGCAGTTCTTTTTCTGTTTTATTGAGATTATTTTCTTGACTAGATTGATAGTTTTCATTAAAATCTCTTTGCTCAAAATCATTGCATTAAAAGCTTCAGGTTTAATAGAATGATAGCATACAGGTTGTATTGAAAGTACTAATAATGGAGATTAACACACAGATAGCACAATTTAACTTCTTACAACTAGTGTTATGCTTGAGAGGTATGTTGTTTTAACAGCATGCTCTTGACCAAGAGAAATTTGAACTAGATAATAAGATTATACAGATTCCAAATGAAAAAAAGTTTATATTTCCTAAATGAATTTTAGTGTTTTCAGCTGATATCACAAAATTTTTAGTTGTAGACTTAAACTGTGTTGCCTATTTGATTAGATAGACTTAGAAGTCTTTAAATAATACTGTCTTTGTTTGGAAGTATTTTAAGCAGTATATTTGCTTGTTAGATAGCTAATTGAGTTAGGTTTCTAATAGGATACTTAGTTCTATAAGATTACAGTTATATATTTAGAAATACTAGTGACTCTAAAGGACAACACTTATTCTGTATGAATATGGGCTTTTTTGGTTTATAAACTCAGTAGCATATTTATTTCTGTCTGAAACAGGGAGTTACAATACCTTCAGACACAAGCCCTTAGTGGGTTCAATATTGGGGTGGTTTTTAACATAACTAGATAGCAAGGCCTCTCTGCTGGCCAACTGAAAATCAGAGGTACATGGAGTATTCTCTTGCTCTCTTAATTTTGGACAGAATGGCAGCTTTAAAAGTTGGCCAGACTGTGAGTTTTCTTTTCTAGACTTGTCTATGAGGAGGGAAAGCTTTTATGAGACAAGAAAGTTCTAATTTTATGTTCATGAATAACATGAATTTGTGATTTGGTCTAGCTTCTGTTAAAAAAAAAAAAAAAGTTAAACCTCTAGGCTCTCAACAGTATCAAGACTTTTATTTTTTTCTTTCTTTCCTTAAACTTTGCCCACCAATTTATAATAACTTGTTATTAAAAAACTTTGCCTTTATAAATATCAGCAAGTGAATTTTGAATCTCGGCAGGTTTTGTTTCCAAAAGATTGACAACAAATATGCAGTTTTCATAGATGTGTCCAAAGAGTAGTTATGATACATGCACATTATAAACAATTAACAACTGATTCATTTTTACAGACTTTCTTGTGTAGTATAATACATGTAATTTAACCACAAAACTTGTACTTTAAGATGACTTTTATATTTAAAATTTCCCAAATCCAATTTGTATGTACTGTCAGTGTTTCAGGTAGACTTAGCTCTTAAGAAGTTTAGTTTTATAATTTGTATGACATTGTGGCATTAAAAACTAATATGCTTTGATCGAGGTAAATTTAGAAAATGAAGTCTAATAGTTCTGTTGCTGAACCTCATATGGTACAAACTGCTATTTCTTATATCTCACTGTATCTTAACCTCTGCAGTGATAATACTTTTATCTTTTCGCCCTATTAATAAAATATTTAACACCTGGAGATACTAGATATAACAAGTTTTGCTAAATTTATGTCACTTCAGGAGGGAAAATATTTTGACTATATTAATGAATTGATTTTGTAACTCAAATATATAGCTAGTGTTTCAGCTTAGTTGACTTAGGCCTACTACTTTGTCTATTTTTAGCCTATTCAGTTCACATTTACTTCGAATTTTTAATATCCTCAGGTGTTTCTTTGTGTCTCTACAGACGGTGTACTTGACCTATCCACTAAGAAAAGTCCATGTGCTGGCAGCACGTCCCTGAGCCATTCTGCAGGCTGCTCCAGTACTCAAGGGAACGGGTAAGGGAAAATACTTGTAGTCTTCCACAGTTTTACAGGGTACAATTCATCAGAGATTGATGCCAGCCTCCCTTGTATATTTTAAAAATTAGTCCTTCAGGGTAACACTCTTACAGGTGGACCTTTAGTAAAATTACTTGTAGTCCATCAGTCAAGTAAGGCACAGTCCGTGAAATCTATAATTGACTAGTATAGATCAATTCTGCCAGTTTCGTACAAATAGTAAATAATCAAGACTATGGCAAGAATGTCTTTGGACTTTTTGTTGTTGAGTGTTTGGGAGTATGAACCCCGAACCTAAATAATTCCAGAGTTCAGATGTAAAGGCAGTATTATGTGTGATGAAGTTGTTGAATAAAAATTGGGCCCAATATTTAACTTTGGTGTCTATGGGAGTATGTGGATGTAAGTGGGTTGTTTGTTTTTTTCTTGTATGTTTTTTTGTTCATTGATTTGAGCTGCAATTTTAACTCTTTGGCAGTTCAGAAAAATCTATGTATTTTTTTTTTGGTTTTTAAGTAAATAAGACTGGTTGTAAACGTTGATGGATAACTATCTTATGCTGCCAAGACATTATTACGTGCTTAGTTTTGATCATTAATTTCTAGCAGACCAAAGTGAATTTTCTGACCACCTAATTTTACAGTGTAAGAATTGTCTAACTCTTCCTCTCTGTGTACATAGCAATCACTTAGAAAAGTCAGGAATTAATGAAGGTGTTTACGTGCCACATTGGGAAGGCATTTCCATAAAACCATTGTGACCAAAAGTTAACTTCATCTAGATATGAAAAATAACTTCAGTAAGTTAAATTAGTTAATCATATTTAGGTTTATTTAACTTATAGAATACCAACATGGGGAAGTTGTTTAGATGGTAAAGGAATAAGTAGACACTAAATGGACTAACCCTTTCAACATTTTAATTACCTTCAAATTGAAGGATTTCTTTACTAACTTCTAAAAATGTTCCCTTTATTTTCTTTAAAATTCCATTATTTTCCCTTTCCTGTCCTCCTTTATTCAATCTAAAAATAACATTAACTTAATTCATTTTGCATAGCTTACTAATGTTTTTTCTTAAGCCTTTTTTTTCACTATAGTTTTTACTATATATAAGTCATCATGGTCCCAAATCATTGGGTTCCATTTATATATTAAAAAAAAACTTAAGTTGTGTAATTAAGGACACATGTAGTTCGAGAAGCCTAAGTGCAGTTTGTATGAATGAACCCCTTGCTTTAAGATTCACTTTAAACTTGGCCACCAAATCTATGTATTATTATATGGTTGAAGTTGTTGTGTTTATCCCTCTGAATGGAAAAAAAGTGTTTTCTATGTGGTATTGTTTCCTGGAATACAGAAACAGTGACAGTACTGCCCATCTTTTAGTTGAATATTCATTGTTTTCCTTATTATGTTATTTACTGATAACAGCACAGAGTCCCTATAGGCTTTTGGAGAACATAGCTGGTTTATCATTATTTCTGCAAAATTCCACTTTTGTGCCTAGTTCATGTAATTATTCCCCTTGACCATGCTTTACCAGTTGCCAGTTGTATCATTGGTAATCTTTCTCTATTGTGAAAATGAAAACCTTATGAATTAACTTTGTGTAAGTAGTAGACATTTTAAGCATTATGTGAAAGTTATTCACTTGAAATTTAAAAATTGATATTTGGTATTTTAAGTTTTTTTAAGAAAACTGCTACAAAATTGATTGTATATACCTGTGACAGTAATTACTTTCACTAGAACTTAAGGAACAAAGTTTTGGGGAAAATAAAGTGCAGTTTCTTTAAAGCTTGGATTATTTCAAATGGAGAATCTGTGGTACTCATGTATCTGCAACTAATAGTGTTTTAAAATGAAGAAGTTTGGTAAGTTATAATGCAGTGGGTATTTTGGTTTGGGTTTTTTGTTTTTGTTTCCTGTTGGGGCTGGTAGCCATGTTTTTTTCCCGAGCAAAATAAGAAATGTTATTTGGAGTTGTTTGATTTTGATCATGAATATCAACTTGTCTGTGGGATAAATGAGTAATTATCTATGGGTTCCACCAATGTAAATGGTTCTAGTTCTATTGCTGGTTGTCATGAATGTTGGATATGTTGCATTAAAATAAATAAGTTGGCTTACTCTTTTATTACTGTACTTGTTTAGTGGTAACGTCACATTGGTAACACAATTGTGTGTAGATCTATGGAGACTTGATGATTACTTTGTAATTAATAATTAAGGTGCTATTTTCAGACAGTTGCGCGAAACTTTTTCTCCGAAAATTTGTGAACCCAACCAGAGACCAGCTGACAGGTTTAATTTTTCTTTGCCCAAAAAGCTCCTGGTTTTTTTTTCTTTTTTCCTTTTTGTTTTTTTGTGAACACGTTTTAAAACTAACTGCTGAGACCATTTTTTTTTAATTTTAGAGAAAAATAAATAAATAACACAAACACAAAGTGATGTTACCCAAGCAAGGCCTTCTAATAAAGGAGTGGTCCCCTCACCCATCCCTCCCTACCTGTGCAAGTCCTGCTCACATCAGTTTCCTTCCATCCAATTAGGCGACCTGGGAGACCCAGCCAGTACCGCCCAGACGGACTTCGGAGTGGTGATGGGGTACCTCCAAGAAGCTTACAGGATGGAACCAGGGAAGGTTTTGGACACTCCACATCACTCAAAGTTCCATTGGCTCGATCCCTGCAGATTAGTGAAGAACTACTGAGCAGAAACCAATTGTCCACAGCTGCCAGCCTTGGGCCATCTGGATTACAGAATCATGGACAACACTTAATATTATCCAGGGAAGCCTCTTGGGCAAAACCACATTATGAGTTCAACCTCAGCCGTATGAAGTTCAGGGGAAATGGTGCACTCAGCAACATCAGTGACCTTCCTTTTCTTGCAGAAAACTCTGCCTTTCCAAAAATGGCACTTCAAACAAAACAAGATGGAAAAAAGGATGTGAGCCATTCATCTCCTGTAGATTTAAAGATACCACAAGTTCGAGGAATGGATCTTTCTTGGGAGTCTCGCACTGGTGATCAGTACAGCTATAGCTCTTTGGTAATGGGTTCACAAACGGAGAGCGCGCTTAGTAAAAAATTGAGGGCTATTCTTCCAAAACAAAATAGAAAAAGCATGTTAGATGCTGGACCCGATTCTTGGGGCTCAGATGCTGAGCAGTCTACCTCTGGACAGCCATATCCCACATCGGATCAAGAAGGAGACCCTGGTTCCAAGCAGCCTCGGAAGAAAAGAGGGCGTTACAGACAGTACAACAGTGAGATACTGGAGGAAGCAATCTCAGTGGTTATGAGTGGAAAAATGAGTGTTTCCAAAGCTCAGAGTATTTATGGGATTCCCCACAGTACACTGGAGTACAAAGTGAAGGAGAGGCTGGGCACTTTGAAAAACCCTCCAAAGAAAAAGATGAAATTAATGAGGTCGGAGGGGCCAGATGTTTCTGTAAAGATTGAATTAGATCCCCAGGGAGAGGCAGCACAAAGTGCAAATGAATCAAAAAATGAGTAGGAATACTGTAGAGTGCCAATTACTGTACAAACTGGGTGAGCACTACTGCTATCATTGCTTGTACCTAACTTCATTTACTGTGACACTTGTTTCTTTGCAGAATTTGCATTGACTTGTGTGTACAGAGGTGAAAGGTGCATTCTGAATGTTGCATATTTAAAATTTTTCATGTGCAGTATGGCTCGGGATGTTGTTTGGCCTTTTGCATGTTTCTCTACAAGAGAACTGAGTTACCTCACAGAGAACAGATACATGAAAGTGGACTCCTTGCCTGTAGAGCCTGCATGCTTTCTTTCTTTTCTTTTCTTTTCTTTTTTTTAAGTTATATTTCCCTTTATTTAAAAGGAAAAAAAAAAAGCCCCCATTTAGAAACCACTTCTGTCATACTGGGAGCTTTTTCATTGCAGTTTCATTGGAAAGCCATCTTATAAAATTATTCATGTTTTCTTCTACAATTCAACTAATTGAAGGATTAAACTAAAGAAAAAACTCTTAAGAACACTAAACTTTAGAAATGAAGGAATTTCATAATTCGATGATAAATCATTATTTGGGTCAAATCACATTTTATGATTTTTTTCTCACTGTTAAATTTACTTAACAAATTAGCAGTCTATTTAGTGCTCACCCAGAGGGGAAGGAGGTGGAAAATGTGCACACACTACCTTCAGAAATGCTTCGGTTAATTACTTTGTAACACTACCTTTGCTATAATTATGTTTGGGATTTTCTAAGGGTAAAATTTGGTCTCACCAACAAGTGAGGATATAGCCTTATCTCATAGAGGACGAGCTCCGTTCTTACTCAGGAGCAGTCAGGGTACATTACATAAAACAGTAGAGGATGCCTCATTTTAGCAAACTAAGTTTCTTTGTATTCTTAAATGCTTTTACGAATTTGATCATGTGCTAACAACTGAATGTTGTTGCAGCAACTAGTTTAAAATATTCAAGATCTGTTTATTGGGGAATGGGAGAAATAGGAAAAGAAATGTGTGTAAGTTACTATAATATTGTGAAAGTGGTATCTAGATTTTACAGCCTCAGTAGTCTGCCCAAAATATCCACATGAATGAAGGATCCATGTTTGTGGTGACAGGAAAAACACAACCCCAAGGTAACCTAATATGATTTAGGTTGCATTCCAATTCTAATAATGATTCAATCAATAATGAAATCATTAGTTTCTTTTTTAACTAATCCAGCTACTAGTACAGGAGGGGAGGGGTTGATGTTTTTTAGTTTTTATTTAATTCATTGCTTTTGAATCTTTTTTTCTTTTTTGGCATCCTACGTAATATCCGCTTGGTAACTTTCTGATATTTGCTTATTTTTTATGGTTGTTTAGCACACAGTTCAGGACCTTTCAGATCATGTTTGTATAAGCACTCCTTGAAGAGTATGTAAGCTTTTTTTTGATATGGGCTTTTAAAATTACAGTAATTAATTTGGGAACATTTATTTTGTACAGTTT